AGACTGAACAGGAGTTTGCATATTCTAATCAACTTGTTTATGAATAGCTTATAAAGACAGGAAGATTGACTTAAAAGGAGAAAAATTACTGAAGTCTTACATGTGGAAGGTGTTTCTTGAAGATGCATTTATAATGTACTGAAATATTATGTAGGTTAGCAAAACTGGAGCAGAAGGTGCTGTGCTGGATGAAGCTAAGAACATCAACAAGTCTTTATCTGCTCTTGGAAATGTCATCTCTGCTCTGGCTGAAAGCAGTGTAAGTGTTCTCTTTTTTATATTTGTATACTTTAAGATTAAAGGCTTGCATCTCTGAACATGATATGCAAAAAAATGTACCAATCTCATTGATATGTATGGTATGGAGTCTTTTAAACCAACGCAGTTGCATCAATGCATTGGAAATTGCCATAACTCTTGTATGGTGTTGACACTGATAAAGTTACATTTAGTATTGAGGCACCTAAGTATCCTAGTGAAAGTTTTCTTGTGCTCTAGAAGTTACCAAACATAGAATTTTAATTTTGTCACCCTATGTGTTCAGTCTTAACGAATTATGAATTAAAGTAGAATTTAATGTCTTTGAAATGAAGTTACACCTAAGAAAAGCACAGCTCTTATTTCAACAAATTAAATAATGTGTCTGAAAAACTGACTAATTTAATTAACCATTTTCTTGGTAGACTTATGTTCCATATCGTGATAGCAAAATGACCAGAATCCTTCAAGATTCACTAGGAGGTAATTGCAGAACCACTATTGTTATTTGCTGTTCTCCATCTTCATACAATGAATCAGAAACTAAATCTACTCTTCTGTTTGGCCAAAGGTGAGTAAAGGACTTGAATATTTTGCTTTTACTATGCTCAGAAATAAATGCACAATGAGAAATGTGTAAGTTACTCTGTTAAGATGCCTGAAGCAAATTAATGTTTGCTTGCTTTCTGTAATTCTTCAGTGCACACATGGCTTTAAACTGGGAGGATCATGAAGACTCTTTCTTTCCAGGAGGACAGCATGTAGTTTGGTTCAAAATGTGATGTATAGTCTTGGAGGGTAATTAATACTCTCGGTTTTCATTTTTCTCCTGAAGTAGAGGGAGGAGGGAGTTCTTCCTGTTAAGTTGAGTACTTTATTTGCCAGGAGAGACTGTCCCCTGCCACCCTTTTTTTTGACGGCATGCTGAATTACATAATCTGGTCTATTTCCTGTATCTAACTTTCCAGTAACATTTGAGTTAATGCTTCTAAATTCTTGTATCATTTGTAATTGAATTTTTAAGTACCCGTTTCAGATTTGGTATTTTGTTTGGTCTCTTTTATTTGCCACTCTGTTATTAATGCTTCAACATAATACTCCAGTTCCTGACCACTAGATTTAATCATTTCATGTACTGTGGCACATTATGAAAGCTGTCAGCATTTCAGTTCATCTGGTCTTCTATGTTAGTGTACCTCTTCCACTTTAGTTCAACAAGATGGTTTTCTACTGGTCTTTTCAGAGAAGTTTTTTATTATGGAAAGTAGACTAGATGACTTCTGAAAAATCTGGCAGAATATGAGTATTTAGTGGGTGTGGAGTAATGACTGCATTCTGTAACAGTGGAGGTTATTTGGTCTCCTTTCAGTACCTAGGAGGTCTTTTCCTTTCCTCTTAGTTCTTGAATGAGCTATTGGGAAATGTGTTCCAGCTGTAGCTCTATAGTCTGACTGCCTCATGCTCTTGATGTCCTGATTTATATTAACTCAGCCTTCTAGGGATGCTGAATTCATACTGAAACCCTCAGCTGTAGTAACTGAAGGCTAGATAAATATAATGTAACTTAGTAGGTAATCATGTGTCTTTTGGTAGCAATCAGTCCCAATGAGACTTTGCAGAAAGATACTTCAGGAGTCATAGTAGGGGAATGCGGTGGATTTCTAACTACTGTTAAGCTTTTTCCTGGTTTGGTCTTGGGCCAAGAGGGAGGGTATGTGGTAGTAGACACTACACAGTAAAGTTACTGAGGTAGGTGAGGTATGGAAGTAAAGTAAGAACTATATGTTAAATTCATGAAGTTGTATTATTAGTGCCTGTAGTTCCGTCTCCAGAGCTAATGTATTTGCATGAGATTTGCTTGACTGAATGTAGACCATCACATCTGACCTTTATAGCTTGTACACCTTTGTGGTTAGTGGACATCTAGTAACTGGATTTTTTTGTTGTTGTTGAAATGAGCTTTCTTAAATAAGCTAGATGGTTTGCACTGTAAAAGTATCATGATTTCCATTGGAGAAATGTTTGCTAGGTGTGTTGAATTGCTACGCTTTGTTCAAAGCTATGCACTACTGTCTTGACTTGAATTTTTTTAGATTAAAGTTTGCAGCTGAACTTTTCAAACTTAACCAGCTAGAGATTTTTCAGCCTTCCCAAAGTTTATTATGCTGCTCTGTCCATTAACAAGTAGTATCAATCCAACTGAAAGAATATCAAGTTGTGAGGGAGTAGGAATAAGCTTTTGGAAGAGGTGGGAATGTTTACACTTTGACTAGTGATGTGTGGCAATTTTAATAGCCTTTAATTTCTTTCTTTTAAAATGACAGTTCAGACCTTTTTGCTTTTTCTATGTAGAGCAAAGACCATTAAGAACACGGTCTGTGTCAATGTGGAGCTCACTGCAGAACAGTGGAAGAAAAAGTATGAGAAGGAAAAAGAGAAAAACAAGACTCTGCGTAACACTATACAGTGGCTGGAAAATGAACTCAACAGATGGCGGAACGGTGAGAAGCAGTTAGATTTTTTTTTTTTCTGCAAATTTTAGGCAAGACAACAGGCACTGACTAAGTCTTCAGGATACAAAATAATTAAGAGTGCTATGGAAGACAAAAATAAGACTATTAAAGCTAGGATATTAATTTGACATTGGAACTTCCTATTTTTCACTATATTGCAACTGGAGCAACTTCTAATAATCACATAATGGCAAAAGTGTCTGAAAGTATGTTGGTGTGAGGTGCTTCAGCACTTGGTTCCCTAGCAGAGCTAGAGTTATGTACATTGTAAAAAATTTATTTAGGGGGAGAAGTAATTCTATTAGTTGTAAATGCAGAAACTGAGTAAAATATTTCCTCTGCGTTGGTGTTCTCATTCCATATTACAAGATCTTGTCCTTGTTTAAAACTCAAATATGTTAATAGGCAAAAGACACACCCCAAACAAAATTGCTGACAGTGCAGAATGTGTACCCATTCTTTCTTACTGCGTAATTAACTTCTTATTGATTAAAGGGCCTAGCAAAACACAAGTTATATATGAAGCTTTAAAGTCAGAAAGGGAGGAACATAGGTGATACTTGGAGATGTATTCTGCAATTCAGCAGCTGTAGAAGATGATCCTGCAGTCTTGTAGACAACTGCACCACATCCTGATGTAAAGCTGAGAAAAATAGACTTACTTGAATAAATTTAGCAGAGTATGTTTTTTTTATTTTAAAAAATCTTCTATAGAGATTGTATGAGGCCACACCTGGAATGTTAAGTATAGTTCTTCCAAAATATTGACGCAAGATGCCAGAGTGTTGGAAAGAACCCATACCTTCCAAAGACTGTATAAAATGTTGTGTAGTAAGACGCTAAGGAATTTAGTTTAGTTTGAAAGAAGTGCCTTGATTAGCATGTAGTATTAATGTATTCTCATCAGAAAAGCCTTAATGAAGATAAAAGAATAGAAGTGTAACTGAAAAAATATTTTAAATTAAAACAAAGCAATATTTAAAGTAAGTATGGGTACCAAGCAAAACAGACTGCCAAGGGGAAAAGAGAGGATTTTTTTTGTCTTCGGGACAAGTTAAGTGCCTTTCAGGAAGATATGGTTTGATGTGAGACTTGAGCTGGCAGTAACTGGGTGAAATAGCAAAGCATGAGGTAATTTGGATGTTTTTTGATAATTTTTTTACATTTTTACATTTCAGTCATGTGAGCTTGATTGCTTATTAACTGTGGATCAGTACTCTTGGTAGGGAGTGAGTAATACTTCTCAAGGCTAACTGTGGGAAATACTTTGTGACTGACTGTGCTAAAACTGTGTTCTTTTCTTTAAGGGGAGACTGTGCCAGTTGATGAACAGTTTGACAAGGAGAAGGCCAACTTAGAAGCTTTTGCAGTGGACAAGGATATTACTGTTATTAATGATAAACCAGCCACCACAATTGGAGTAACTGGCAATTTCACTGATGCGGAGAGAAGAAAATGCGAGGAAGAAATTGCCAAGCTGTACAAACAACTGGATGACAAGGTATGCCGTTTTAATTTAACGTAAGACCTCTTGCAAATATATCGTGAACTACCAGTCTTCATTTGTTAGTACAGCTTGCTTAAGTATTCACTGGAAGTGCCTGCTCTATTTCTGAAGCTTTGATTATGGGAAAATAAAATTGCCTTATCTAGTTAAAAGTGAGTGCCCTTTCCTAGTTGCTCTCCCTCCTTTGCTGAAAATACTAAAAAATGTCCTGAATAGTGAAGTATCAGTATATAGAAAATAAGATAAAAATGAAAGTTAGGAAGGAGAAGTCCATGAGAATCTTGAATGGTATTTCTACTTTTCCTAGGTGATTGTTTGAAATAGTGCTGTACCAGAAAAAGGAAAACAATGAGAAAGCAGAAAAAAGAGTAATTTGAAGATGGCAGGGTTTTTTTCCTTCCATTTTATGCATATTTTATTATAATTTCCAATTGAAGCAATAGTACTAAATTTTAAGAGGGGGAAAAATCCTTTAATGAAATGTTGTTTCTTGGAAGTTAGAACCTAGAGAAGACAAGAACCTAATGGATTAACCAGTAAAATAAAAATTACTATTTTTCAATTTTTGTTGCTTTCAGTTGTGTAGTTATCTTAGAATAGAAAAAGTTAGATGCCTAACATCTACTGTCTCTGAGATTATTTTTCTTGAGTGGTATTTATCAGTGTACTGAACAGTCTTACTTCAACTGCAGGATGAAGAAATTAATCAGCAGAGCCAACTGGTAGAAAAACTGAAAACACAAATGTTGGATCAGGAAGAGGTAAGTTTCATTCTTGCATCTTCATTCTGTTTTTATTTGTCTTTCCTTTAAAGAAATTTGAGATGTTCTGAATAGGTGACAGTTTATGAGCAGGAAGTAGAGAAAGGGCTTACTTAGGGTTTTTGTACAGTAGGGCATTTATTTCTTATTTAGATGCTCTGCCTGTTCATTCCCCCCACTTACCTTGTGCTAATGACTAAAATTAAACCAGTTTATTTGAGCCTTAAGTATCTCTGAAGATGAAAGGAATTTAAATATTTTATGCAAAACCATCAGCAGTTGTTTTCCCTGTACAAAGTTAGCCTTTTTTCAAAATCGAGGGTACTTTGATTTACTGTAAGATATCTGTTTTAATGAAAAAGGGAGTATCTGTGTGTTACTTCAGACCATATTTTCTAGAATATTCAAATTATTTTTATGCATATGTTGCCAGTGATACAATTAATTATATGGGGAAAATACCTATTAGTAATGAAATTGATAATTTTGTTTAGCCACTTTATTAGAAAAAAATAATTCTGTATAGCACAAAGATTTAAAAAATACTAATCTTTGTGTATATGGCAAGAAGAAAATGGATCAAGGGTTTGGGAAGTTGGAGCTACTGTTTAATCTTATTTAACTTAATTAACTTGCCTGTTTAGCAAATGTTCACATTGTCTAGTTGTTCTTCAGCAGCTAACAGTGTTAAAATGCTGGAAGCTTGGTCCTTAGCCTGTTGACAGTTTCAGACACTTGAATAGTGTTCAGTGGCTTTTTTGAGACCTTGCAATATTTCATGTGTTTCCAGTTGTCCTTTATGTGTCCTGTTTTGTAATCATTTGCATTTTGACAATGCTTTAAAAGCTAAAGAGCTATGGGTATAGATAACAAATGTAATTGTTCATTGTACTCTCACTGTACCTGTCCTTGGCATCCTTATTGCATGATGTTAGACACTAAATGTAGGTACAAGTAGCTAAAAGCATGAATAAGATTCAACTTTATAAGTGGAATTTTCTTTATTATTTGTTGTAATTTTAAATAAATCTCTCTCAATGTTGCAGCTTCTGGCATCGACCAGAAGGGACCAGGATAACCTGCAAGCAGAGCTGAATCGCCTTCAGGCTGAAAATGATGCCTCTAAAGAGGAAGTGAAAGAGGTGCTACAAGCCCTTGAAGAGTTAGCTGTCAATTATGATCAGAAGTCTCAGGAAGTAGAAGATAAGGCAAAGGAGTATGAACTGCTTAGTGATGAGCTCAATCAAAAATCGGTACGAAATCAGGATAAGAAATTGTAACTCTTCTTGCCTTACCTGTATTTCTTGCTTGAAATAATTTAAAGGATTTTCACAAGGGAAAATGGGAGCTTAAGTCTAAAACTTCTTTAGTTCTAGCAAAGGATGATTTTCTAAAACCAGTAAACTCAGAAAAATATGCAGTGAATATTGACCTTGATAGCTCTTGTCTTCTTTGTACCTATGACATTTTACTACCAGAGGAGTATTTAGAAAAATCCTGCATGTCAGAAGTTAACACTTTCATTACATACTGGTGATCTGACTCAGTTTATTTGTCTTTCTGGTGCAGTTGGGGTAATCTTCACTTAAAAAAAACAACAGTCTGCCCCTTCCAATCTTGAAACTGCAGTGAGCATGCTGCAGCTTTTCTGGAAAGGAATGTTTATTTGCATGCAGTATTTATGGCACATAAAATGTAACTTTTTAACTTCTGGAAGGAGTAGTCCTGAACATTGAGGACATATTCCAAAAGATCACCCTGATGAATGTACAGAAGCAGCAGGATGAATACCATACACCTTCTCACATACCTACGTAGTTCCTGAATTGACTGACAGTTCTAGTAGCCAATTACTTGGCAGATTCAGTCAGTTTCAAACAGTTCATACTCCACCCGCTATCCTAAAATTCTTAGTACTGGAAAGGATCAGCATGTTTGCTGGCATTGCAGACAGAGTGTGCAGTGGTACAAGACTTGTTCTCCATTTTTGAAGGTGAAAATTGAGTGGGTCTGAATCTTCTAGTGAATGCAGCTTTCGATGTCAGTGGGCAAGATTTGACTAGATAGAACACTGAATGCTGTTTAATGATGTTGACATGAATTCTCTTGCAGAGTTGTAAGATTACAGTTGTGAGCTGAAGCCTCTGTCCCCAGTACTTTACATTTCACTGTCACTCTAGGACTTTTAAATTTTTACTTACGGTATATGCATGTAGGTTAATACCAGTCTGGTTTTAGACATGAAAATGAGATATTTCAGTAGCCAACCACATGTTGCTGTGTTTAAGTAAACAGTATGAAACTAGTTCTAAAAACAAGTGTGTTCTGTTAATTAAAGTGTAACTTCTTTTCCCTGTAGGTTACTCTAGCCAGTATAGATGCAGAGCTTCAGAAACTTAAAGAAATGACCAACCATCAGAAGAAACGAGCAACAGAAATGATGGCCTCCTTACTAAAAGATCTTGCAGAGATAGGAATTGCAGTAGGAAATAATGATGTCAAGGTAAGTATTATTCGGTGCCCTTTTTAATGCTGTGGATTACACGCATTGTGGATAGGTGGGGTCAGTTTTCTTAGTATGGTAAAAATAACCACCATCGGAAGCCTCATGTATATTAATAGTTTGGGTGTAAGTTTATCCATTACTGTGATTTAATCAGGTCCCAAACAGAATTGGATTATGCACAGACATGGAAAAGCAGGTGTGATTTTCCTTTCTGAAGCAGTGTTTTGACTCATGCTGTTAAACTTCTATATGAAAATGTCATAATCAACTGCATCATCTTGGAAATGTAATGCTGATCTAGACTGGCAATCAGGATGATACTTAGATTAAAAATAGAATGAGGAGCTGAAATAAAAGATAAGTCTAGAAGATCGGTATAGGAAACTAATGTAAGCAGCATTAGAAATCTTCAGTAAACTCTTCAACTGACTTATTACTTTTGTGCAAATTTCTACATAATAAATCAGAACATTTTTTTAAATAAAGTTACATTTTGGTGTTTAAATGCTCGGATTATCAGTCGAGGTGGGGGATCTCTGCTGGACACTAAGTTGCCTCAGCTAATCTTTAATTCTGTTAAAGCTTTACCTGAGCTTTCTAAAGATGTCATTCTGTACTTTTCAGCAGCCTGAAGGAACTGGCATGATAGATGAAGAATTCACAGTTGCAAGACTATACATTAGTAAGATGAAATCAGAAGTAAAAACAATGGTAAAACGTTGCAAACAGTTAGAAGGCACACAAGCAGAAAGCAATAAGAAAATGGAAGAAAATGAAAAGGAATTGGCTGCTTGCCAGCTCCGTATCTCACAGGTAAGTTTTTCTTTACAGTGTACTTCCTAAATGTTCTTTCAAATTCATTAACCTGCTGGGAAAAAGAAAAAAGTTGCAAGTTCTTTTTGATATCTAACATAGTATGTTGTAATTGAAGAGCCATAAGTCTCAGATGTATCCTTCATACTCTCCCAGTTTGGCTGCTTCTGAGTAATTGTGTGACAGGATGTCAGAATTTCCACAATATGTCTGTAGCCTTATAATGCTTTTGCAGCACTTGTTCTGCATCACAAGATCCTTTACATGTACAAGTCTTACTGAAGCAATGGCTAGTGAGCACTCTGCCTACTAATTCAGCAAGCTGGAAGTGGGAGAGGTGGCAAGAGCTCAGTACAACTACAGTAGGCTTGCAGAGCAAGTGAAGTTTACTTTCAATGTGAGGGAAGTCATTTTAATGTGATTGTTAGAAAAGGTTAGTGAAGTGATTTCTGACACTTCTCAAAGTAGTGATCTGCATACAAAATTTAATTTTTCTGTATTTTGTTTTATGTACAGATAATTATTTTTTTTTAAATCCGGAGATCCATATTTCAGTGCAGTCTTCTATATATAGCAAGACTCTCTTGCTGCTTATAATATTTAATGTTTGAAGCATCTCTTTTCCCAACAAAAATAGGTTTCATTCCAAACCAGAATAAGACATTGTCTTACAGGCTATAATACAAATTTACTTGAGTAGTTGTATTCTTCTTAGAGTTGAGTTGGCACCATTTTTGTTTTGGGATCAGGTTACTTGTTTAAAAATAAGTATAAACTGTTCATGCAGATGTAATTCTGTGATACCTAGTTGCAAAATAAATTAATCTTTCCATTCTACAAGCATGAAGCCAAGATCAAGTCATTGACTGAGTATCTTCAGAATGTGGAACAGAAGAAGAGGCAACTGGAAGAGTCTGTGGATTCTCTTAGTGAAGAATTAGTTCAACTTCGAGCACAGGGTAAGAATTGCCTCTCTATAGCCCACCCACCACCATTTTGAGTATAAAATGATAAATAGGAGGTTGTTCTGTTTACTTTGAAGGGCAGAGCTATAGAAAGGCTTTTTGCTAGTGAACATACAGTATTAATGGGGAAGAATGTTTGCTGTTTAAAAGAACTGCTATGGATAAGATTAATTTAAAGATGTTACTGATATAATTGATCATTGCAATGGGAGGGTACTCCTTTAAATATTAAGGTGTTGGCAAAGGGGGAATTAACTCTTTCTTTCTTGTGCTCACTTAGTTACCTGGCTGAAGTGTTTTTTCTCTTCTCTCCCTATTAGAAAAAGTCCATGAGATGGAGAAAGAGCACTTAAATAAGGTTCAAACTGCAAATGAAGTAAAGGCAAGTTAAATTTCATCATTTATAAACTGAACAAACAAATGGAAGTGTGGCAGCTTCTTAAAGCATGTAATATGTACCATTTCTTCTAATAGCAAGCTGTGGAACAGCAAATCCAGAGCCATCGTGAGACACATCAGAAACAAATCAGCAGCCTAAGAGATGAAGTTGATGCAAAGGAGAAACTTATCACTGAACTTCAAGAGTAAGAAATTGTTGTTATTAATTTATTAGTGCCAGGTGTCTCTGGACTGTGTAAATACAAAGGCACAGTATGGTGGAAAGGAAGTGGCCAGGATTTCCTCCAGCAGTGTCTTTCTAACTTGTATTGCTATTAACCTGTCTGACAGGTTCAGTTGATCTAATATTTACTTTTTGTGTTCAGCCAAAACCAGAAGATGATGCTTGAACAGGAACGACTTAGAGTTGAGCATGAGAAGCTGAAAACAACTGATCAGGAGAAAAGTAGAAAACTGCATGAACTTACGTAAGTGATGGTGGTACATAAAATATTTGAGTGTCACAGGTTTGCCTCAGGTTTGGCAATTAAAGCAATTACAACAATGCTCTTGATCCCTTCCCATCTAGGTAGGGGAGGGAGAGAGAGGAATAAAGGAGAGAGACTTTCTGGTTTGAAAACTAAACTAGACAGCTTTAATTAAATACTAATGATAAAAGAAAATATGTACAAATATATACATATATGTGCAGGAATGTGCAACATGCATCTCCTTATCTGTGAGCAGTTCTGAAAAGCCCCAGAGACGGGCTGAGAGGAGAGTTATAAGGGTCAGAAACACACGGGCCTAGAAATCAATGGTGATAGAGTCCTCCCCAGACACTAGCCATGAGCAGAAAAGAAGGAAAAGGGAGTTGACTTCCATGATCCCTGAATTTATACCGAGAATAAAGTAGATACATGGGTGGAATACTTTGATTCACCAACTTTGCTGCCTGTCTTAGTCTGCTTTTCCCCATGGAAGGGTTGTAGATGTGACTGATCTGCTCCTTTAGTGTCCAAAGCAGTAAATCCGACAAGCAGAGCTAAGTGTCCTTGGTTTCTCTGCAGTATCTATAAACACTGAGTGTTACCAGTCCACTGGCTGGAAAACTTGCTTTGCTACTTAAGAGAGTTAACTTGAGTCAAAAAAAATAGTAAAAAGAAAATTGGCTTCATCCTGTCTCAAACCAGGTCAGTGGGAACACTGCATTTTAGAAACTAGTGACCTAATACAATGAAGTGACTCTCAGTGTACGATATGCCTATTAAAGAGAGGCTGCAGAGCCTTCATGAACTTAACTTTTAAAAAACCTTTCTACTGCCTTAATACTTTAAATTGGAAGTAAATTATTTAATATATGAATGCCACAAATTTTTCTTTGTTAATATGCTTCTCAATTTACAGTTAAGTGTTGCATGCCCTTAAAACTGCAAGAAGCTTGTGGCAGTTCCCTTATTTTGGTTATTGTGTTCCCTTACTCTTTTTTTGTGCTGATATAACTAAACTGGTTAGGTGGTTCTATAACTGGCATATTCTTGAGGTTATTCAGCTGCATACTTCATTGAGTAAATACAGTGTATTAGTGATTTAGGGACTAAAAAGTTAATTCAGTAATTAGAATTTAATTCTGTTTCTATCTAAATATCCAAGGGTTGAGCTGTTCTGACTTGAAAGGCAGTTCTCAACATCTAGAAATCTGACCATAATCTGTAAATGTTTGTTTCTAGATTGTCAGTAGCAATTCCTTTCTGGCCTATGTGAATTTATCTTTACAGAAGTTAGAAATACATTATACTTAAAACTTTTTCAGAAGTCCATGCTTTTTGGCTGTATTTTAAAAACACAGTAGCTTTCAGGTTTTTGTCATAGAATTTTTAAATAGAGAGGCCTGAATGGTCTGTACTGGTAACCAATAAGCAATGCTTGCGTTAGTATTTTTTTATTCTACTGTGATGTACTGTAATGTTGATTTAACTGACTAAAACTTTTAACAGTACTCTTTTTTTGTTAATCCATCTTACTCTTATTTATGTGATTACAAAAGTTACATTAGATTATCTTATAAAATGTTGTCTTTGTACCACATGATTGCTGCATATGCCAGTTTGCAGGCTCAACTATATATATATCATTGATCCCTTAAAGGCACTTGCTATTTTAGAAAATTTCTATTAAAAAAACTTTCAAAGAAGCATTAAAAATTAATTTAGTATTCTGTGTCCTCTCCCAGCCATTTTGAATCCAGTTATTTTACATTGTATGTCATAAAGGTGTGTGGCAAATTATAGGCCAGAAACAATTCACATTGTGTTTTGTGGTGTGTTTTTTGTTTTGTTTTTTACTTCAAGAGTTTTATAAGATGCCTGGAACTACTTTTCCAGTGAGATCTGGAAGATGGATAGGATGCTGAGATATTCTTTAGAATATTTTATTCAAATGTTTAACCAGTTAGCTGGAAGTAACAGTGCAACTGGCCACGTGAGGAGAAATTTCAAGAGGAAAATAAGCTTTTTGGCTACTTAATTAGGAACACTTAATTTCCATGCAGTCCCTGACCTTCCTGTTCTTACCTCGAGTCATAAAAAGAAAACCCCGCATTTCTTTCCTGTATCCTGCCATTTTAGTAAATGCACTGCCTTATAAATCTGAGAGAACATTAGCAGTGCAGTAAATGCTTTCATGTTGAATAGGAATGCAGAGGTTCTGTAAAGTCATAATCATTAAGTTATGTTCCTGTAAACTGAGATTGTTGTTTATGATGCTAGCATTGGCAAATGTGCTGGGGTGAAGTGTAGAACAAAACAAAGAAAAAATCTCTAGTCTGTTACATGATATTTAGCATCTCATCTGGTCAGGCTGTACAACATTTGTAGGATAAGATCTCCCCAAGTATTCATCCTGAACCTATCTCAGAGATTCTGTCTTTACCTGTTCTAGATACACGCAATTTATGTACTTGTTTGTATTCCATCAGTATTGAAAGTACTTTCCTCTTTTTTTTCTTGCAATTCCCCCACTCCCACCCCATTCCATAGAGATTTCTCAGGATGGGGTCATCTGTTGGTTACATCCTTAATTTAGTTTTAATTTGTACTATATTGCACAATATATTGGATGTTTCAGGATCAGTTTCCTCTCTTTTAGGGTTATGCAGGACAGACGGGAGCAAGCGAGGCAAGATTTAAAAGGTTTGGAAGAGACTGTGGTAAGTTATTCAGAATATATTCCAAAACAAATGTCAATATGTGCTTTTTTCTTTCCTTCTGAGTTATTTTTTGAATTATTTTATTTCTTGTCCTTAACTGTAGGCAAAAGAACTTCAGACTCTTCACAATCTTCGGAAGCTTTTTGTGCAAGATCTGGCTACTAGAGTGAAAAAGGTAACATGGTGCAGTACTGAAACTCCGTGTTTCTGAGAATGCTACATAAATTTTAGTTTAGAACTTAATTAGGATTTGATCTTTGTGATATAATTTTTCTGGTTTGATGTTAATACGCAAGTTCATAGTTGTACTTAGCCTCCTTTCTCCCTCCCCATGTCTTTGTTACTGCAGAGTGCTGAGATTGACTCAGATGATACAGGAGGCAGTGCTGCACAAAAGCAGAAGATTTCCTTCCTTGAGAATAATCTTGAACAGCTTACAAAGGTTCACAAGCAGGTACAACGAGGCTTAACAAACTATTTAAGTTGCATTATTATAGAAGTGACTGAATGCATATTGATCATAAAGTAACTTTTATAATTATATCTTGAGTGTCTCTCGATACAATAGGCAGAAGTTTCCCAGTGAAATAAATTAATAGCTGTTTTAAGTGCATGTGGGTATATAATGGAAGAAGATCCCAATTAGTGTTGAGAGTTAGTGTATCAGTCTAGGGGATGCTTGCCTGTCTCTGAAGAAGATTGTAGACTTCAAGTGCCTGTGTTGGGTAGCATGTTCTTCCACAGTAACTGATAAATCAAATTACAGTCTTACTGATGAACTATGAGATCTACTGAAAGCTTGAGCAAAGATAATGCAGTCACCCTACTGTTTTGCCTGTTGAGGGGCAGGGGGGGTGTGGTTGGTTCTCTGTGAAGAGAGATACCAAGAAAATAATTTTGCTTGTTTTGTAGCTGGTACGTGATAATGCAGATCTTCGCTGTGAACTTCCTAAACTGGAGAAGCGACTTAGAGCTACAGCTGAAAGAGTTAAAGCTTTGGAGTCTGCACTGAAGGAAGCCAAAGAGAATGCTTCTCGTGATCGCAAACGGTATCAGCAAGAAGTAGATCGTATAAAGGAAGCTGTAAGATCCAAGAATATGGCCAGAAGAGGACATTCTGCACAAATTGGTTAGTAAAGCATTCCTTGCCCCCTAATAGCTTAATCTGTTTCCTGTTTTCTTTAATCTTTGTGCGTATGTGCATCTTTCAACCTGAGTTGGAACTGCATGTGTTGAACATGGTGTATTTTCTACCATGGATTATATTTTGGTGAATAGACTGTAAGTGTGGCTGTGGTGTATGGTTGTTTGGTTTATTTATTTATTTTAAATAGGTCTCTTTCCTGTTAGCTGGGTTTTTGTACAAGCTGGGAAAGGCTTACCAGCCTAGAATTCTAGCCTGAATGTGTGTTCCACTTCCTAGAACAAAACAATGCACTCAATCTGAGTCTGAAGTCTGTAATATAATGCCCATTTCTAAGACTAAATAGGTATTCCAAAGCAGGCAGAGAGGTTAAGCCATCAACTTAACAAAATTGTCTTGCTGTCTCTTGATATTGTGGGGGAGAGAGTCAGACAGAAACCCACAATTAACATCTTAAGATCCCTAATTACCTTTTATGTTGTTTGCAAACTAGTACTCCATAGCCCTCCCTAGAGGAGAATGGAAAAAACAGGAAGCTGTCATAGCCAGTAGTGCTTCTTACTGTGTAGTGGGAAGTTGCTCCTGTTCCCTTGGTCGTGTCAAGTGCTGAGGGTGTGTGATGTGTGAGGTCTTTGCTGTGTGTATTGCATTATTGTTGCAGAAGTAACAGTGTGGTCCAGCCTTTCTGTTGTTCTATGTCTGGACTTGAGTAATCAATGTGCTTCTCTTAAATGCTAATGCAACTGAAATGAGCATTGCAGTTGTACTTTGCTCATATTCTGGAGGTCTGCAAGGAGCTATAGCATAAAAAATTAAAATTCTTGGTCACCTCAATTGCCAGCTGGAAAACAGGATCTTTCCTGTCTCTGTCTTGGAGATCACTTGAGAGAAAGACAAACAGAATTATCCTAGTGAACTTACCACAGGTATAAAGCCTCTTGTACATAAATGTCTAGATGAACTAGTCATGTCTTACTGAAGATCAGCTTCCTGTCAGGCAAAAATTGAGATGTGTTCCTCTGGTGCAGTTGCTACCTGTAGATACTTTATATCCACACTTACCTGCTGAAAGTTTAACTGTTTCTGTGTAGTATTACAGAACTTTAAAGGCATACTGTTAATGTGTGTCCTGTTAAGAGCTAGTGAAAAACTGATTGCAAATATAGTTTGTTTACCAAACTGTATTGAGCTTGTGAATTACCTGTCAAACTACTGGTTTTGAATTAGGTAATAAGTTCATGAAACAATGTTATCTGTGGATTAATCAGTACCCAGAACCACTTGCAAAGCAGAGTATCTGTGCAGTATCAATCAAGTAGATGTGGCAGATAGAGCAGGGTAGTGATTTCTTACAGGAACATAATCCTTATGTCTTATTTGAGTTCTTGTTGCCAGCAACTATTTACTGTCACAGGGAAATACATTAGGTGGGGCAGATAATACTTGTGAAGATAATAGTTATCAAAAGCTTTGCTACCTTTAATTCTAATAGGGAAAATAAAAGCAAAACTTTGTCTACTTTTCAGTGTTTTATTATAGTTGACACTAATCTGTTAGGTTTGCAGAATACCTTTTCCTAAACTTGTTTTTTTATTCAAAGTGCATTCAATTTTGATTGTTACATTTGGGATACTGTAAATTAAAGTATTAGTAAATTTAAATAAAGGTAAAATTGTGATATATATGTATTTGTAAGTAATTTTTCTTTTCCTGTAGCTAAGCCTATCCGTCCTGGCCAGCATCCAGCAGCTTCTCCAACTCATCCAAGTGCAATTCGTGGTGGAGGTGCATTCACTCAAAACAGCCAGCCAGTTGCACTGCGTGGAGGTGGTGGACGGCAAGACAAAGTGTAAGTTTGTCTTGTGGGATTTTTTAAAATGCATGATTAAAACACTTCATATTAGTTTTATTACAGTGCTTTCTGTGGCATAAAATCACTCAAATACTCAGATTAACTTCTTTTTTTCCAGAATATTATAGTTAGAGGAACAATAAACACGTACCCTTGACTAACGGGGCCACTGCTTTTGTTACAGAACTGGTGGTGGTGTAAAAAGGTAGTTCTGGGGTTGTTCTACTGGAGTAGAACAAAATGTGAAAACAGTCAATTGGTGCTAGTTACCAGACACAGCCAAAAGCTGCTGTTTGGGAAAGGAGTGAATGGTTTAAATTATTTTGGCTTGCTCATATCTTACAAAAAATGGTTTTCTCCAAAAAGCATTCAGCAATGATGTAAAAAAATGAGCCTATCCTTTTGTGTTGTTTATTTGCTGTTCTTTCTACATTTGCACACTGCTTCATTTGTCAGTAATTTAGAAGTATTTAACAGGAAAAGTAATGTCTTAATCTGTTAAAATTATTAGCCTAGCTAGAATACAGTTAAAGTAAGTGAAATTAATATGTGCACTTGTCTGAAAATGTCTCTGATCTCCTAAGTAATTACATGCAATCTGGTACTTAATATGCTTAAGTTGCTCACAGAACAGTAGTAATGCTTTGCTGCGTTCTTTGTCATCTTAACTTTTTAGTGCCTGTACAAATGTCTTCTGGGCATTCCCTTAGTTAAGGTTATCTGCCTCTTCAGTTTGAAAATACTCCTAAAATGATTCCATGGCCTTGTATCCTGGGTGCTTCCCTTCTGAAGGGCTCCAGAGCAGTTTATCTTGTTTGTATTTGTTTCTTTCTCTTAGCTGACTGACTTTTCAAAGCTTTCTTTCAATTTTAGTGAAAATCAGGCTGAGTACTTAAGAGTACCTGGTTCTGATCAGTAGTCTCTCTTAGTACGTAAGACATTGAAGTCATCTGTACTTTAACCTCGAGCAGTGTTTACCTTGGATGACTAAGAGAGCTGGCAATTCATGGTTTCTTGGTCATGTTGATATGGTAAAATTAATTTCCAGATAGCTCCTTTGACTACAAAAGCAATCTAGCTCAGCCATCCAATGTAGAGACATTTTAAGGTATGACTGACCCAATTTATTTGAGATGCCTACTTTAGCCTGAGTTTGCACGTTCTCAGATGTTGCCTAGAATTCTATTTGAAGAGAACCTATTTAGTCTTACACTTTAAGAATACTTATTATAGTTGATGTAATCAGCAATAAATAACCAAACTTTGAACTTGCATCTTGCTTTGGAGAAGCTTTCACTGAGGAATTTAGATAGGAGACTTAGCACTTGGACTTTTGGACTAAGCATCGATAAATAATGAAGGAGTAGAAAATTGCTAAGTGTTGGTTAGAACACCTTGGTAACAGAAAGCTCCCATGTAGTATGCTTGAAGAATGGCTTAAGCAGTTGTAAAGCTTTCATATAATTTTTCTAATGTCAACATGTTGCCTATTGCTGTAGAACCAAGCAGAGTTTAGCACTTAAAGGCAGAAGAGTTGTTGTCATTTATTCCAACTTGCCTGTGTTATTTTTTGAAGAATCTGTTCCTTATGCAAGTAAAGGAAAAAAATTTTTTGAACTTTATTTTACTACTTAATATAAATTTGTTCTGAGCTTGTGAATATTCAGGTAGCCAGTATGTACAATTTTTCTCTGTAGTAATGTCTGTTACACTTCTTTTGAGGATTAATACAGATAATAACCATCTGAACCTCTGGTTAGAGAAAAACTCTTTTGTACAGTAGCAACGTGATGTACTGGTTTACGTTCGGAGACCACCATTTAACAAATGCAAACCTTTTTAGGATGATTAATGGCAAATGATCTCTTTATTCCCATTTCTTCTTCCCAAAATAGAAAAGTCAAAATTTGCAGCAGCTTATAGGTTTTATCCAGACACTTCTCACTGGCCTGGAAAAGTAGCAACAGTCATGGAAGTGGAGCTAGGTTATAATAATTGGCTTGTGTTTATAATGTTTAATCTGTCACGGCAACCAAGACTGGATAACATGGTCAGTTTATCATGCTGTAAATGTGCTTGTAACTGACAGCATTTCTTAGAAAAAAAAGAATTTAGGAATTTAATTTCATTGCCTAATTTCTTTATTCTAAAGCAGATGTTTTACTACCACTTATCAGAGTGGTCTAATAATTGAGCTCTTAAGGACTACATAAATCATAACTACAGTCTACATAAAATGTAAATAACTTTGCTCTTTTGTCTTATGAGGTACAAGCAGTTAACTGTTATTTTTTTCTGATTTGCAGTTGCTGAGAAGTAAATGAAGTGTGAGAAGGTTTGGATATCGTGTAGAGGGAGTCATTCCATGACAATAATCTCTCCCTTTGGGGACTGTAGGATTATTTTTTGAAAATGTATAAATTATACCTGGCCTGTACAGCTCTTCCCCCTTCTACAAATTCTGCTCTCTGATTTAAAAAAAAGCCCCAACAACCTAGAGTGCAATTTTGGCGTCTTGAAAAATGATATGTTAAAGTGTAGCTCTGCTCATTACACAGTTTGTCTTTCATGTCTTAAATTTAGTCTGCACTGTGCCAAGCTGAATGTATGTTGAGAAAAATCTTAGTTCAAATTTTCTAGCTTAATTTGTGTACATCTTAATGTCTTAGGGGATGTGCAACAGTGTTTAAGTATACTTTCATTTTTACCACTTCACATAACACTACGTGTCCCATTGAATTAGAATGGCACTCTGCATTACAGTTTTCTTTTGGAATGCTACATGGAGCATTGGAACTAAATTCATTTGTACAGGGTAAGAATACTGAAGTGTGCTTACGACAACTGCCATAAGGCACTGCGATTGCTACACCACAGAACTAAAGAGTTCAATATGAACAAGGCTGTGTAACTGTTATCTGATTAAATGCCCGTTTCTCGGGTAATTTAGACTTAAATATTGTACAGTAATAAGAGTAAACCTAAGTTTACAAAAAAGACGATGGCAGTGGATTATCCCATCTGTCCTGTTCCTGATTCTACACGCAGTACAGTCTGGTGGAGTGAAAACATTCTGCTTCATTCTGATGAGCCTCTCTGTCCATTTGTCTGTATCTGTGGCAGTTCACTTTCACTATTTTTTAATAGTGAAATGAGCACAATATAAAATTTAACTTGATATTCCACTGCATATACAGTACTGGAATTTTTGGCTAAAAATTTTAACTTTCAATAAAGTAAAAATTTCAGCAACTGGCCAATGAATTCTGATACACTAATAAAGGATACAACTTTTTAAAACTGATGTATCTGGAAATCCCAGAGACATGTTTAAAACAACCCAATAAAATAAAGTGCTATCCTGAATTGTATTTGTAATCCATTTGTAAGTAGGTATATGAGATGTCCAAAGTAGGAGTTGTTGAATATTTTTCTTCTCTTGGCAATAAAGTCGTGTAAAGTGGCTAACAAAATGAAACATGGCTTTTTTTGTTTCTGAGCTCCAGTACTCCCACTGAGTTGAATCTGGGTGTTAAAATTTTATAGTGTAATTTCCCTAACTTACTCATAGGGTCTAGCCACTATAATTTTTAGAACAGCTGCCTTCTGGATAAAAATTAGCTACCAGGTCTTGGAGAAAGAAGGAACTTCATATTTCTGAAAGAATCTAGTTAGCTTTCCAGACCCAGTTGGTACCAGTTTGTGTGCTGGCTTGAATTTTTTTTGCTGGGTATTCATCACTTATTGTGGAAACAGAGACCTTATGACTGTTCAGACAGGAAATCACTTTCAACTTTTATATTATAAATAGAAAAAATATTTATATTATGATGGAGTGTAGTCAGATTTTAGACCTTGAACCACTTTTTTCTATATCTACAGTAGTCTGAATTTTTAATAGTTTGATATTTAAAGTTTGAGTTGTATCACTCAGAAATCTCACTGTTTTGGAGTTTTCAGCCTTTAATACTGTTTTGTTCATTAAGGCTGCCAAACACTCCAAACCTGCCATTGTTTTAGAGCACGATTAAAGGCAACACACTGATGAAAGGAAAACAAAGGAACAGCAAATAATTTGAATGAAAATTCTCATAATGGAAACAGCGCTGTCCTCTTTCTCAATGTTAACTACAGGTTTTCAGACCTTCATTTGTTAATACACAATCATAAAACCAAACAACCCCACTTTCTTTAAAGTACATTCAAATGAAGCAGGATTTTTTCTCGTGCCTGTGATTGGGGGTTTCATTCCTGTAGATGATTATCAAGGGTTTTGGTGCTGAAAATTGCTGTGTTTAAAAAAATAAAATTAAGTGGTAACTAGCCTGTAGCTCAGTGTACATCACCTTTTTGTATTTAAACTTTTTTTTTTATTATTATTTTAAACCTTTTATGAAGTTTACCAAGAACTGCCTCTTAAAATGTAAAAAAAAACAACAACTTTTTTTGTTCTCTGGTTTGGCTGTCATAGGTCAGCCAGACAGGACAATTACTGTTTTTTGTAAATTAAAATATTCAAGTCTGTATGGGGAATGTTCAACACTGCTGTTTCAACTTGCAGTCTTTGAATGGTTCTTATTTTTTATGTTCCTCTAGATCATATTTTTTAAAAGGTGGTTTAGGATAGGAACTTGGTGACATAGTATTTATTTCTGGTGAACAACTAAATTATTTACATAACATAAATGATGACTCACTACTGTGTGTAACTAAATTTGACATGAGAGGACAAGTCTACCTGTGGAATATGATTTTAACTTCAGTACACTTAAGATGTATTAAAACACTTGGTTTGGGGAAGACGCCATATAGTTTTAACTTACCTGCATGCTGTAAATGTATTTGTGTTTAAATAAAGAGAAGAAAAATCTTTTAACTGTGCATTTATTCAGTCTTTATATCTCTTTGTTAAATTGTCTCCATATAATGTTCTTCATTTGATAGGTTTCTTGACCAGTTATATCTCTGTAAATTGTGATTATTTGAAGTCTCTAACAACTTATTCAAGTGTTTAATACAAGTAAGCTTTCCCACACAAATACAAATATTTCAGTCTTCGTCTTCCAAAGACTGTTAATGATAGAAGACACAAAAACACAACTCCCAGAGAAAAGAAAAACTAACTGTTAATGCCTGTGGAAATGTTCAGACATTGATTACAGCCCTAGTATATCTGAATTTGAACCCCTTCCATCTGGGATTTGTTTGACCTTTCTTAAAGGCATGCACTCCATGGAGCTCATAAATATGCCAGCTTAATATCCATTTTTTATGGCTTCTCTTGCCTGTGAATGTTTATGGGGGGTTTCAGTCTTTATTTTTTTTTCTTAAACATCAACTTCCACTCTATCTTGCATACAGTAAGTGACACACTTGAATGAATTCTCCCTTGTCATAGGGTGTAGACACAGGCATTCTTTCTCTCAAAGGAGGTATTTCCTCTTTTCTTCAAGGCAGCTGTTTTGTTTCCAGTGGCTGTCTTGGTATTCAGCTGCTTTTCAAGAACAGACCTAAAAAACCAACCCCAAAACCCTCATCAACAAACCCAACCCATCTCTCTTTAAGGAACATCTACAGGTAGTTATTACTTAGATATCTAATTCTCAATTACAGCTAAGGTGATTGCTATGTCCTGTTCATCAAGGGAGTTGGTTTGTTGTTTGTGGGCTTGGATCTTGGGGTCCTGATACACAGTAAATTATCCATGAGCCAGCAGTGTGCCCTTGCTGCCAGGAAGGCCAGTGGAATCCTAGGTTGCATAAAGAAGAGTGTGGACAGTAGGTCAAGGGAGGTAATTCTCCCCCTCTGCCCTGGTGAGCACACAGCTGGACACTGCATCCAGTTCTGGGCTCCACAGTTAAGAAAGACAGGGAGCTACTGGAGAGAATCCAGAGGAAGGTGATGAGGGTGTGGGGATTGGAGCATCTCTTTTGAGGAGAGGCTGAAAGAGCTGGGACATTTTGTCCTGGAGGAGAGAAAGCTGAGGGGAGACATTATCAATGTATAGAAGTATCTGAAGGGTGAGTGCAAGGAAGATGGAGACAGGCTCTTCTCAGTAGTTACCAGTGTCAGAACAAGGGACAACAGGTACAAATTGCAACCCAGGAAGTTCCATTTAAATATGAGGAAAAACTTCGTTACAGTGAGGGTGATGGAGCACTGGAATAGGCTGTACAGGAAGGTTGTGGAGTCTCCATTTCTAGAGATATTCAGAACCCATATGTATATAGTCCTGTGTAAAGTGCTCTAGGTTATCCTACTTCAGTGGGAGAGTTGGACTAGATGATCTCTAGAGGTCTCTTCCAACTCCAGTGATTCTGTGATTCTACTTTGTTTTTTTCCAATGGTTGCATTCCAGACTAAGTTGATGGCAGGTTAGACACAGCTATGCTTTATTCCTCCCAGGAACAGAAGGAAGTTTAAGAACTAGAGGAAATGACCTTAATTCAGGTCTACTGGAAAACAAGGAGCCATAGATGCACTTACATTCCACACTTCTCAAAATTAAACTTTGAAATGGAACAGTGTAGAAGCTGATCAAGGGCTTGGGCACATGATGTGCATTTGATTTAGTTCCTGAGCAACCAAAAAACTTCAAAGTTAAAGACTTTTTTAAGATCATAGTGAATTTTATCTGTTCTGGGATGCATAGAGTGGCAGCCTGCTTACAGCTGTTCAGCCTGTAGATTGCAAATTCAGAAAACTGCTAGTTGATCTGTAGCACCTGCTGCCTACTGTAGGTGCAGCTTGAGCTGTAGATGCTTGTGCTTGATGTACTCCTGGTTAGCCAGTGAAGAAGGGAGGTGAAATGGAGATAATCTGATCTGCTAGTCTGACATAGCAAATGGTTCCATTCAGACCAAGAGTTCATCTAGTTGAATCTGTCTCCAGAGGTGCCAGATTTATGGGTTGCCAAGAAAATGAGTTAAATGTGATGATTCGTCTCAATAGTCTTCTTTAGATTTGTCAGTTGTCTCTACTCCTTTTATCCAAATGCTTGGACAGTCTTTGGAATCCATATAAACTTGCATTGGTTTCAGTTTGGAAGGAATTCAAATGAGTTACCACTTGTTTTGTAAACATATCTTTTTTTTTTTAACTTGGTTTCTGCTGATTCAGTGACCCCTTATTCTTGTTTGAGAGAGATTAACCCCTTTCCAACATTTCTGTGCCACTTTTGCAGATGTCTTTTCTTTCTCATTACTCATTTTCCTCTCCTAGTAATCTGTAACACTTCGTTCTGTTTTTTCTCAGTCCTATTGAACTGATGTTTTTTATGGAACAATCTAGTTATGGGAAATTGCAATAATCTTCTGGTTAATTTTATCAGAAAAAGATTGAGCGAAATTTCTAGAGCTTTGATATATATATATATATAAGCAAAAAGGAAGTCTAAATTTAAGCCATTACAGTTACGTAAAAGAAAAAAATCTCAGGAGGAAGAAATTTCATCTGTAAAACTGCTCAATAATGAGCTAATCTGATACTATAAAATATTTCATAGTATATCCTATTAATGTAATATGGTTCAGTCACCCCAGTGAATGCTCACTTATTAATAGATCTGCGTCTATACTAGGGAATTACCAACTCAGACCCTTTTATTGCAGACAAGGACTAAGCGACACTCAAATAGGCAAGTAAATTTCCTTTCAATCTGAATTT